TCATTATGTTGAAACATAATTAATGTAGAATAGGGATCGCAGCGCATAAAATAAAAGTTACACTATTCCAAAATCTTCTATTATAATAGAAATTAATAATTAACACTAATTTTATTACGTCTTACTCATTTTTCAACCGTCTTCGCCATCTTCCAATTCTCTGTCAATCTAACTGTCATTCTCTTCTCTCTTTCTTTCCATTTTCTCTTACTAACATCTTAACGCTCCGTTCCACACTCTATTCATACGTTCCGTTCCTACCAATCCTACATTAATATAATGTTAATGAACGAAACAAGAGGCAATAATACAACAATGAATTCAGTTTTTTTAAACGTCGAAACACCTTCCAATTTTCTACGACGCAATATGAGGCTTTTTATTGTGATTGTGTAAAATACTTTAACTATCTGTGAAATAATCAAACGTACGAGTAAGTGAACAATAAATTTTCTGAATACAAATTTCAATTACATTAATGAGTCATTCAAAACTGTTGGAGCGTGTTAATAAATACCCACTATTTGTATTCAATACTAAATAAAATTTAAAGTCAAAACCCGTGATATTAAGTTAGTTTCAGTTGAAAAACAATTGGAATTTGGGTTATATCTTTCAAAAGCACATTTTTTCATTGCCTTATTAGGTATTTATTTTATTACTTTGCTTTGTCAAGGCATACTTAGTGTAGTGATATCATGATTATTTTTCATAATAAAGATCATATATTTGATATGTTCTTGTTACAGCGAAATATTAAAAATATATTAGCAAAAAAAAGTGCAGTATAAAAACCCAAAAACATGACTCGAATTCAACAAAATTCTTCAAATAAAATTCAATAGTGTAATAATTTTTAATATCGTAATTTTAGAGAATGCACGACATCACAGCAATACAGTTTCTACCCTAATAACACTCCCAATACATTGTTGGACTATCAACAAAGGTCGTAAATCAAAAATCTTGGTATACTGTGCCCATTAATCCCTCATTGCAGTGACCGAACCATTTTCCTCCGCCCCGAACATTTTAAACACGGCTCACGGCAGTTATTCGACCGAATGACTTCACATAATAGATCCAGTTCGTGACTCTATTTGAAATCTAACGATGGGGCCTGCACGTAATACCAGCCAATTTTATAGCGATATGTGTAAACACTGTGTTGCAACTATATAGGGCCTATTCGAAACACATAAACGAAGGTACATAATCAATAATACTGCTTACATAACACTAAAATCGTCGTCCTTACGGATCCATCAGATCCAATAACCTTTGCATTAGACGCCTTCAGCTCTAATACTAGGAGCAGGCTTAGGGACCCCGGTAACCGTACTCGTCGAACTCGACAAAGAGTTTGACGTGCAACTTAACCCATGAATCAGCTCGCTGAGTTTCTCGCCGGATCTTCTCAGTGGGTCGCGATTCCGATCCGGTAGTAGATTCATTCGCGAAGCAGCTGCTCTTGAGCTGTTCGGCGTTCGGAGGCGCTCGGGCAGCTGTTAGCAAATACCACCCCTTCTGGCTGAGCCTTCGCTCGCCCACCTATCCTGGTGAAACTGGAAAGGCCTCCGGGTCACCAGTAATCCCTCAATCATAAAAAAAGAATAAAATCGTGATCGAAGGATAATAATATCTTTAATGTTTTTTGGCATGCAGTGCAACACAAAAATTACCTGATGCGTAGCATAACTGATACTTGGTATGGTCGTGGCCTAAAAGATAGGGCATCCGATACTCATATTAATCGATGTCGGGGATCAAATCAAAAAAGTTTCTGTTTGAAGAGCAGAACAACTGGATACTAAAGAGTTGACTTCATGCGATGTCTATGTGCTCCAGTAATCACTCAACAGAGATTACAATAGTAATTAAACGAAATTTCAATACATGAAAACACAGACCGAAATTAACAAACCGATCTTGCACATATATTTTTTAATTGAACAATCCTGAACATGTTTTGGAATATTGAAGCGCTATTTGTACTAGACTTTTAGCCACTGGCAGTTTAATATTTGTTTAGATTAATATTCAAAACAGATCAGATGTGAAACAGTTCACAGAAGATAAACAATGGCGATATTTTATTACTTGCATTGGTCAGAACACTTTTACAAAACACACTGAATGAAAATAATCAAAACACTCATTTACATATTATATACAAAAAAGAATTGACAATAATACTGGCCTGTATAAACGTCATGTGATATGTCGTAGGCGTCATACGATGTGGAGCTGCGATTAGTCGTGTGCGAGTATTTGCCTACTCGCTATATTACTCCCTTCTTTTTTCCTACCTGTGCTGGTAGCCATTAGAGGCTATGCCAGCGTAACCGAGCAAATAGGTGAGCTCACGGAACTATAACCTGAGGACGTTGCTAACACTAGCCCTAGCAAGAGCAGTGCTTCGCAGAATCTACCACCGGATCGGAAAAGCGACCCACTGAGAAAATCCGGCGAGAAGCTCAGTAGGCTGTGACTGTGGGTTAATTTAGCCCTTCATCGTAAACGACGGATTCGACGAGAACGGTGACCGATGCTTGAGTTACCTAAAATCACCGTTAGTGGATGGAGAGGATCCAAAATGACGTGCTTAGGGCGACGTCGACTGTTTACCAATCGGTTCGCAGGATCGGGTATGAACTACTCCCCCAGTGAGACCGTAGCTACGGGAGATAGTAATCGGGGAACCTGATAGTGCGTCCGTTGCGACTAGGTTTGATCGTGATATCAGTAGGCAGTTAAGACAACTAGTGTGTTAATCTTGATGAGAGGTGCTGAGGTTAGGTTGCAAGTGCCAGTGCTGCTGGAAGTCTGCGGTGAATCGAGAGGTTGTATACTGCATCAGTACCGTAATGTCAGTCGTACAGTCCATGTAATGCAGAGCTGCCGCGCCGGAGACGTGTGACCCCAAGAGTTGATGAGTACTTGCCTACTCGATACAATAGAATTTAATTTCGAAACCTCGTTCGAGTATTTTCGGGTATTGGAAAGGGCGAATGAAATTGAATGATTAAACGTACCGACTGTGTCAATATGATAAGACCAGTGAAAGGATCTTCTGTGAATTAATGCAAAATGGATATTGTCCAAAAAGCGTCGGCGGGATTGGCTAGTAAATGATTTTCGCGATGAAGCAATCAAGTTATAATAAATATGGGGACCCGCACAAAATAGTTATTTAATTACTGGCGGGGGGTATTGAGAACTGTTCTTCAGTGCTTTTGATACGTTGATTTGACCTTAATTTTTGGATAGGGGGCTGAGTCTCACACTTGGTGTCCGCACCTAGGGGGCGCGCGGGGTATGTGGAACTTGTCGGTCTTCAGATGTTGGGACCAGCCCACGGGCACAAAGATGTTATGTTAATTTGACCTAACCCTTCGACATTCACATTAACATTGTCACGTCTATTGGCGTTCGATAACTACTTAATATCAAGCGGTAGCTGGTGTGACCACCGAATGCTATTTAAAAAAAAAAGTAACGCTGAACTAAACGAAATTGTATAAATTTAATTGCCTTTTTATTAACATACTTTTACATTAGATATCATTATGACTTTACTCAGTAACAATTGTTAAATTGAACTGTAGACGAAAAATATATCCCGCTAACCTTTCTAATCTAATGTAGTCTAGCTCTGTGGCCAGTTGTGTTAGATGTCAGCTGCGACTCATCTCGCTCTTGTCACGGCGATCCTTTACGTTTCCCAGCTGTTGCAAGACCCGAAAGTCTTTTGAACGTGCGCAAGAACGGTTTGAAATTCGAAAGCACTAATAATAACATTTAACATTAACGACAACCAAAATCATTAATGGCGTGTAATGGGGGTCTGTAAGTTGTATGTTATGATGCAACATCGCAGTTTGGGTTGCTGTTAAACTTAATTTTATTGTTGTTATATTAGTAGCATACTTATATGTACCGCAAAACAGTTATGTGTTCGATTTGAAGTGCTTCAGACAGTTATATGTACTATTCTATTGAGACTGATACCTCATATCTCGAGGTGCATAGCCTCATTCACGTTGTCATCATCATCATCATCATCAGCCTTTATCTGCCCACTGCTGGACATAGGCCTTCCCCAATGCCTTCCACATAATGCGGTCCTCCGCCTTCCGCATCCAACGACTTCCCGCCGTGCGCACTAAGTTTCATTCACGTTGTGATGTCTAATAAATATGCGAGTAACGATCTGTCAAATAAGCAGACAATCTTACACTTGTAATACATTTTGTTTGTAAATAGTGATCTTTGCACATTAATTTATATTTGTTTTTTCGCTGATTGTTTTATTCAACATTAAAATAGTTAGAGTATTTCTATTAAACATTGCAAGAATTTTTAAGCACTGTACCTGCAAAGAATAGAACTAAAGTATTCAGCATCCTTTGTGAAATATTTATTCACAGTGAAATACAAAAATGTAACTTGAACAACAAAATCCATAAGAAAAAGTTGAATTGCGGCCGCGAAACTTGTTCCGTGGGTGTATCTAACTTCTTTTTCCTATCTTTGTATAAAGGTAGCGGTTAAGCTCCATATATTAAAGTTTAAATACCGTATAATCACCTTCGCTTTATGACAAACATATTTGAAGTAAGCAACGATTTTCGCGAAGAAAATCTTAATAAATATTTCATCAAAGTTATTACCGAAATCCTTTGATCCTTTATGTATGTAAATATACTGAGCCAAACTCGGAATGGTATCTTCATTTTATTGGAAATATTCGATGCGAACTTGTTAATAAGAAGATACTTACACCGGAGTCGACTTATCAAAAACTCTTTTTCAGTGATACTAAATTCATTTTATATAATAGTTTGATTCAAGTTACTTTTTTTTTACCATAAATAAGGTGACGCGAAACACATATTGAACATTCTAAATAACAGCTTATGAGTATATGTATAGTGTGTGTGTAGTGTGTTCTAAGTGAATTTACTATATTAATTGAGTTTTTTATTGTTTCAGATAACTCAACTAAAATAAAGTGACGTTTTTCTTAGAACTAAAAGTGAATGTTTCCAAATTATTGTGGAAGCGGTGAAAAGAGATTCCTGAAAAACGAAAGTGTGAGAAACGTGTAAATAAAAGTCGGTGGGATTATATCAGTTGCCATGGAGGTTATTCCACCGTGCAGAAGCCGCATCTTCGTGGCCTTCTTTGCGACCATCTTCTGGGGAATGGGTGAGTTCAGCCCAATATGTAAATGTTCAATAACAATGCGTATTACCGTACTGTAGGTAAACGAAAACTTGATATCCCTCTAAAAGGAATGCTTGCGTATCGGGCAATATTCTAAGGAATTTCAACATGTTTCAGGCCCTTGAAAACGCGTTTTATAAACTACTAGGTGACCCGGCGAACTTTGTTTCGCCTTAGAGGCAATAGGTAAATGAGCAGCTTTAGATTTTATCAAGGTCATTTTTTTTTTCAGTTAACCACAGACTACATAACGTTAGCTGTCAGTGGCGTTTTGCTATTCCACATCATGTGCGTTTTGTTATACCACGTTTTATGTCATACCACGGGAACGTGATAAAAAGTATCCTATGTCCTTTTCCTGGTTCTAAGCTACCTCCTCACCAATTTTCAGCCAAATCAATGCAGCCGTTTTTGAGTTATAAATAGTGTAACTAACACGACTTTCTTTTATATATATAGATATTCATACATTTCTTATTTTTGTTGAATTGTTTAATTAGGATATATTTTTAAGTGGTCACGGACTAAAGAACCTTGCAGTGGTGCCCGGTGTACTCGTATTAAGTGATACGACTGTGTTGGTATTCTGCAGGCAGGATATTTTAAAAAAAGAAACGTACTGAACGAACTATTAATTAAATCGTGTAAAAAAATCAAACCCGCAATAAGTATCTGAAGATAGCGTCGGAACGCTACCTCGAGTTAGCGGGGTCGTACAGTAAACTCCTTGTCCGCGGCCAACTTTACCTCCGGCCCGGATAACATAGCCGACCTACTATCGACGTCCGAAGATATCATGAAACCTTCTGATTTTTTTTTATTGCTTAGATGGGTGAACGAGCTCACAGCCCACCTGGCGTTAAGTGGTGGCACATAGACATCTACAACGTAAATGCGCCACCCACCTTGAGATATAAGTTCCAAGGTCTCAAGTATAGTTACAGCGGCTGCCTCACTCTTCAAACCGAAACACATTACTGCTTCACGGCAGAAATAGGCAGGGTGATGGTACCTACCCGTGCGGACTCACAAGAGATCTTACCACCAACAAAAACCATTTACTCTAAGTACAGCTGGACGCTATCAGTGCTAAACCTAGGAGCAACGAAAGGTTACCTCTACCCGTCCTGCTTAACCGACAAGGCTTATGATCAAAAAGAAATCCTGCTCATCCCACAAAGAATGTATACCTCTGTCTAGTGATAGGGCGTCCTAGGTGTCATCACTCCGGCTATTTCTGCCGTAAAGCAAACACGTACTTCAGCTTGAGGGGTTGAACAATCCTTTCATAATGCGTTTCTGTTTGAAGAGTGGGGCAGGCATTGTACTGGAAAACTGAAACTTTAAACTCATGTTTCAAAGTCGGTGGCGGCATTTACGTCTTTAAGAGATGGGCTTTGGTGACCACTTAACATCAGGTGGCCTGTGTGTTCGTCCAACCATATAAGAAATTTAACAAATTAAACACTAGAAGGACTAGTGAATTAAGAAGTTTTTCGTGTAGCTCTAGCTTGAATTACAACATCAAAATCCATCATAATTGTATAAAAAGAGCAGGCCCCAACAATTTTTTTTTATCGTAATATCTGAGAAAAACAAAATAAACTTCGATATTTAATTTTTACAAATTTCGCTGTTGAGGTAATTTAGGACCGAAGAAATATAAATTTATATTTGGAGAGGAGGGAAACCATTGACGATGAAAAAGAAATTGATATCGTTGCGTGAAAAGGCAACCTTTCATCTTCACTTATAATGAGTGGCAATCGTCACTTCCCTTTAAAAATGATATTGAATTCGCCAACACGAAGAGCACTCACTCACTTCTTGTTTTTATCACGAATACATTTATTTAAAATTAAAATATGCATGCTATGCATTACTAAAGTGTATTTACTTATTCAATATTGTTGAATTAATAATAAAATTTGATTGTGAATATTCTATGATTTTTTTAAGATAGGCAAACCAGATCACGACCGACCACGCTAAGTTATTTGAGCTCATAGATATTAAGCATGTACACGGTTTTCCATCACAAAACATAAGTTTGAAGTCTTTTCTCAATTCATTGAGTATCCTTTTAAATCGGAGTGCTTAAGTGCTTAGCGGCAGACAAAAGCTCGATGATTGTGTGTATTTACTCCAACTGACGCTAATTCTATCCTAGAGGAGTATACCAAGGCAGCACCGTCTATTAAGCTTTCGGATAGTGCTTGAAAAGCCCAAGCCGACAACCGCCGCTTCAATCCTCCGGGGGTGTCGTGGCGTGCAACCTCTTTGACAGGACATTAGAACTACAACGACTAGACATAGACACAGACTTAGACAGAGACTTGACAAGAATTCGAAAAGAAATGGAACGAAGGAGTACGTGACTAGCGACAGGCAGTACATTTTTTGACTTCTTAAAAGACACACAAAAAGACGACAAGGAACGAACCGACCGTTCTCTTAAACATATAAAAATAGTCGACAAAAGAACGAATTGACCGTTCAACTGATCCCTCGACCGTTCAACTGATCCCTCGACCGTTCAGGGGGGTTGGGCGGTGAGTTGTCCCCGGGAAGAGCGGTCGTAGGTCCTTGTGTGACATTGAGTTTTAGTCGGCTTAGCTTCGTCACGCACCGGCTACCGCCCCTCAAACCGTGGGTGTCCGCCGATTTCTGCGTGATAGAAAAAAAAGAAGCTTAACTTTGATACATTTACGAATTTAAAGAAATATATTATGCTATTTGAAATTTCTAATTACTTTACCATTGTAACGAGTGGTAGCCTTGTGTAGTCGAATAGATTGTAATACAATAATCTCGACTTAAGTCAGAAATGTTAAAGTTTCCCCGATCCTGTGTTATTAGGTGAATAATAAATGACTACTTTGTTGTATGCTACTTATTGCTTTAATTATATATTCAAGAAACGAACGGCTTGTAGTTAGTAACATCCTGCGTAACGTACATATTATATTTTATTTAAATTTAGTACTAAACAGCTAAAGGCTAAAACATCTTTAATACTTCATAAGAACCATTAGCGCGGTATCAGCTTTTTACTAAGGTTCGTAAGTGAACGCTTTCTTTGCCCTATATGGATAGACGAGTTCAAGATCCACCCGATGTTAAATGATTCGACTTTGTTACTCGCCTTGAGATATGAGTCTGCCCCACCCTCCAAAACTGAAGGCATGACTGCTTTGTATCTGAAAGTAGAGGCTAACTGTGTCAATGGCTCTTTGTCATATTACATAACTCTATTTCTTCATCGTAAAAGCCTATAGGATTAGAACCATCGTCACATCGCTTTATAGGAGTATACCGGGCACTTTAACCTTCAAACCAAAGAGGCTTCACACTAGTCTTCGAAACTAGAAGCTATTTAAATTTAGTAAAAGGTAATTTTTGGCCTTTGTAAATCAGTTATACGTTTTGTGAACTAAAGTTATAAGAATGACTACAAGTAGTATAGTTAAGGATTTTTTTTGTTGAATATTGGTTTATTTGAAACGTTCATGTAAACAATATTTACGGGTTGTTTAATACTTGTTTTAGAATTAGTAAATTCATTTTTAGTTCCATTGTTGTGATATCAACACCATTAATTATAATTCGAAATATTCCCATTTCAAAGTTCCACTATTGTTATTGGTCTTCATTTATCAATCGTGTTTGTTTTGACCTTACTTACTATCGAGTATTTAGATTGGGAAATTCGTAGGTCCGGATCATCTTATATATACCTAGTCAGGTCATAAATTCTGTCACATGTTTAATGTAAAATAATTGAAACAAGTTTATTCATTATGTAACCATTCATATACCAAAATGAACTTAACAAAACATAGATTCTTATGACACTAAAGTTTATTCAAAATGACCTCCGTGATTTTGAATACAGGCCTTCAATCTGCGCGGCCAGTCGTCTATCGCAGCACGAACGAGGTCCATGTCAATATCGGCGGCTGCCTTAATCAAGGATGTCTTGAGTGACTCCAAATTGGGATGAGGCTTTGAGCACGCCTTTTCCTCCAAGTGTTGCCATATCTTGTAATCTAACGGATTCAAATCTGGACTGGAGGAGGGCCAGTCTTCGTGCCGGATGAAGTCGATTTCACGCGCCGCCAGCCAGTCTTGTGTGCTCTTCGCTCTATGAGCTGGCGCCGAATCTTGTTGGAATACCCAGTGCCTGTTATTGAACATGGTATGAGAAACAGGTTCCACAAGGTTCGTCAGGACTGTATTTTGATACACAACTGCATTCGTTTTTACACCTTTCTCACAAAAATGTACCTCTGTTAAGCCCCAATAAGAAACTCCCAACCATACCATGAGCGAGGATGGAAAATGACCTCGTTGGACACGCGGAATACGGTTGCTCGCTTCTTCACTACTGTGTGCGTACACCTTATCATTTTGTTTGTTGTAGCTCTCTTCTACGGTAAAAATTTTTTCATCCGAAAAAAGAATTTCCCGATATTTTTTTCCCGCGTACCGCTTCAACAAAGCGCGGCATCTCTTCAGTCTCAGGTCCATTAGACGAGCATTCAAACGATGTCCTGTTTTTCTTCGATATGCCCGAAGCCCTAAGTCTTCATTTAACACCCTTTTCACCGTGGTTCTGCTTAACCCCATCTGAAGGGCCAACAGTTTCTGCTTACGTTTGGGATTTCTTTGAATTCGCGCCTTCACAGCTTTTATCACTGCTGGAGTCCTAACAGACCGAGGGCGACCACTTCTTGACCTGTCATCTACACTAGAGTCTTCATTGTATCGTTTGATGGTACGATAAACGAATCTTTTGGTTATATTCAAATTTTTCAGTATGTTAAAAATTTTAATTGGCGCGTAACCGCAACGATGCAACGCAATAACTGCAACACGGTCTTCTTTAAGCGTCCACTCCATATTTAAAAAATGGGTAAAATTCTAAAAGTAAACATTTTTATTTTCATGAACAATTCGAAATTCGAATTCAATAAACTTTT